TATGACGGCGATATCCTTCATAAGACGTTATTTAGGTGCGGCGACTACCTTAATCGCACTTTGTACATACAGCTCAACAAACTTTTTAAGCTCACATGATTTTTCGCACAAATTAAGGTCACATTTTCGTAATAAAAATTACTATTTTCGAACCTCAGAACGATGACATAGCCCTACGTTATATTACATATATAATGTCAAGTATAAATGTCCTTTAAAAGTATTATCTTAAGTTTCCAAAGTGGATGTTTTAGAGGGGAATTTATCAATAAATGGTACGATGTTTCTACTATAGGCCTCTACCATAGGGTTTTTACAAATAATAGAAAACGTGCTTTCTTTAACACAACGTAGTTGAAAATTTTAAATTTTCTTCTTAAAGGTGAGTATTTTCAAAAATTCTTTGCTCATTTACCATACTCATCTGGGTTTTGTCGAAATGTAGCACCGAAAAGGGATAACATTCCAGAGAGAAACCATACTACAGGGTAGGATAATGAAGTATTGTTTATTTTTTAAACAGTAATTTTTTCTCTGAAATAGAAAATTCTTCTGCATTTACGGTTTGAAACGTTAAAATTTTGCTGTGGGATGAATCTTTCATGATTCTATATTTTTAGAAGGTGACTCTGAAAAATGCCACCTTATTAACATACAAAGCAGTCAAACAGATGAAAAATACTATTATCACCTTGAGCTAAAGTGTCAGAATGTACAGAAAATACAAGTTACAGTAGCTGTACTGTGCCCGTGTCTATGTTTCTGCAAAGAGCTGTTGCTTTCAAAAGAACGGATAAAAAGACAGATGCAATTGGCAAGAAAGTACAAAAAATCAAATGGAAATAATGTTATTTTTCAGCCAAGAATATATTAAAGTTCTAGCAATTGATTTGTATGAATTATGTTTTAGTAAATGAAATAAAACTCAAATAATGTAAACAAATACTTTTAAAATGTATTTTGATGTCTGAACACACAATATTACATTATCACAATGTGACCTTAATTTGTGCGAAAAACCATGTGAGCTTAAAAAGTTTGTCGAGCTGTACTTCGATATCTTGAAAAGTATAAATCCTTTTAATTTTAATTTTTCAGGAGTGATTTGAAATTTATATAGCTTCCATCATGTATAATTTTGTTTATTTAAGTCGACTAGTGGCAATTTTATATAAGTTGTGACATTACTTTTGGATCAACCCTCGTATATATTTTTCCCGTTTGTGGAAAGGACAACCCACATTCTAAGTAAATTTATTACATTCACGTGTAACAAACACAAATAGTATAATGTGATATGGTGTTTGTCGACGTTATTTGCAGCAAATAATTCCACTTTGAAAATAACTACACCAATCCTCTACCTCTGAAAATTTTACATAATACTAAGATGTTAGTATTCTTAGTATTTGACATGTGCCCTATAAATTGGTTTGTATTAGTTGAATGTCTACAAAGTTATGAACATCGTAGTTTACGACTTTTTGGGACAACCCTCTCAGTAGGTCACATTACTGGGCGATGATGATTTATTAGAATAGAATCAATTCTAACCCTTATAATGTGCAGAAATATCTTCTGAATATCAATAACTTATTTATAAGATATACTGAAAGATAGTTAACCTCCGCTCTCTTGATGATAAGTCTCTCCTTTGTATTTCTGCTTTCTTTTTCTGGAAGAAGTCGCTCCACTTTTGTTCCTCCTGCTGTTCTCTTGGAGTTAGTAAGTCTTCGTCCTCAACTAGAATATGAGGGACACGGGCCATGATGTTCCAGTCGCCTGTTGGATGACTTTTACTTCAGCTTGTAACTAAAACATTGCATGATACAGAAATTAATACATAATCTTGCACAAAAGTAAAAAACATTGGTTTTGAAAGGTTTCCTTTTATTGTCAATCTGTCATGAGAACGTGTACTGGCCGTTTTTCAAAAGGTGAAAATATTTTAACGACGTTCGATCCTGATATTTACAGTTTCTACAACATAGCTTAATTAAAATTCAAATAAAAAAATGGGAGTCAATTTGCTTCTTTTGGCGCTACAGTACATTTAATATGACCTTTCTGCACTGAAATTTGTGTCTTAATTTAAAAATTACATCTTTGACGTTTTCCCTCCAATATATTTTTGTCCAATTAAAGCATGAAACAAAATGCACCCAAAGTCTATTTTAAAAAAGACACTTTAAAATTGTGACAAAGAAAAGGTTTCAAATTGGGTCGCATAATCAATTATTTGACCTTTCTGCACTTAGAAAATATAATTTTTCTGTTATTGAAAATTTAATAAGCAAGAAAATTATTTTAAAGTCTTAAACTTTTACTGAATTTAAGCACATAGGTCAAAGTTAACTTAAATATTTAGAAAAGAACATCAAAAGTGTGAGAATATGATGTAAATTTTCAGATATTACTTAAAAAGTGTCAATGTGACGTTCAAATTGGTTCAATTTTTTCCCGGATTTTCAGAATATATTTACTACATTTGTCACACTTCGTTGAAAGAATTCATAAGAAATAATTCAATAGATATTTCAGAACCAGCATAACATATTTTACTGCAAAAAACAGCCTTGTGTGCAACCAGCATGGAAAAATAGGAATCTTAAATTAAAAGTACTGTTATAGTTCAAAAGGGAAAAAACTGATCATTTTCTTCTAAAAACATTCCGCCACAAAATATAGTTCCTAGCTTAATTCTACTTGAATGGAATTTAATGGCGGTTTTTGCATTGAATATTGTTCAATTTGCATTGTAGAATTCAGATTTAATGTTAGAACTTAAAAATGACGCAGAAGTTTATAATTAAAGGACAGGACCAAATTCCTCTCAAAAACTCAGGATCGAACGTCCTTAAGAGTCGTTGATTAGAAAAATGTAAACTTGAGTTAATTTATTTGATGGTGAAAATGTATACCATGGCCTATTTTATTCTTAAGGTTATACTATTATAGGTGGAGCTCACATGGTGCATATATGGCCATTTCAATAATGAAAAATGTCCCAGACGGCACAATCTGTAGAATTTAATAAGAATATTCTCAAATTAGTATTTCGTTACTGGTTGCACTTAAGTATGAAAATTGCCGAACAAAGGAAATTTCAAAGGTCTAGAGCGACGAGACATTCAATAGTATGCTGTTCAGATATATTATAAATCGTTGAATGTCAAAAGATTGTCGTTGATAATCACATTAATGATTTTGGTAAATGAACGGAGAGGGGGACAGGAAAATTTAAAAGTATATATATCAAAGATGAAAGACATGAGTCCTGTTTCCAGACAAGATATTCAGATGCAATGTCTCCGAAAACAAGCTTAATGATTTATTTTTCTATCATTTTTGTTTGATGAAAGATCCAGGTTTAATTAGCAATTTTTTAACATCAAACAAAGATAATGTTCTTTAATTTCGTTCCTTGGTGACAATAATCGAAGTTTGTGAGTGAATCCCATTATCCTGATTAAGGATTCCTTTAATATTCTTAATGAGTTCTCGGAACATCGGCTGAGGAGGGAAAATGTCTACGATTTCCAATACTTTGTAAGATAAACTGACTGCTAAATACTTGTAAATCAATTCTATGAGTATGGTTTAGACTACTTTTGTAGTAAAGTCATTGTCAGCATCGACATTATTTTTATAATCGATTGTTTTATTACAAATGAATCAAAATGTCATTTTTCTCATCAGTCAAAAGGGAAGCTATTTTAGTTCGATGGAACCTATACAAAAATATCATAGGGGAGAGGATGACACAACCTCATAAAAATTGAGATGTAAATGAGGTTATCATGCAGATGTTTTTATTAGAACCCCCACCTCCACCCCTAGGGATTCTACAGGCCTGCTTAAGCGTGTGTTTGTTGTAAAATTAGTATTATTGAATCTTTCGTTATTAGTGATTCATTCCCAATTTGGATGAAGAATAAAATTATACAATTATATTATTATGTATATTCTGTACATACATGTATCTATAACACATTAACTTCTTAATATTGTATATTCTTTTCAGCCTATAAACAATAATTCACTTGATAATCATTTATTAATGAGTTTCTTCTATTCAAAATAATTATACATTCACGAAGCATTACGCAGAGTAGTTTCCATTTTAACAGAGAAACAAACCTAGTTCCTATGGAAATTAATTATTAATGTACTCACCTAAATCTAGATATCCTACACCATCTTGTTGTTTCGTCTTCTCTTTGTCTAGGGCGAAATGAACATCAAGAGACTGAATGGTCACCTATAGGATAAAAATATCGACAGATCTTCGTTTAATCCCCTGCTTGTGGCATTAAAATCGTGTCTTAAAACATATTTAAATCCCTGCTCGTAAAGAAAACTGTGTTGTTTTTCTGGTGGTCGGGTTGGTCGATCGCGTGTTCAGATAGCTGTAGACAAATTGGTCACAATCAGTCGGTCATTGTAAGCTTACAAGACAATGATTGATCGAACGGGAGACTTCTAACTTCTAATTCTAAAGCAGTGTAAATAATCCATAGGTCTTCAAAGAACTTTTTTTAAAGGAATAATTATGTCTTCCTTTATAGATATATTTCATCGAAATTAAATTATTTCAAAATCTAAAGACTAAAAAAATGAACAGGGAATATGTACATGAAATATATTTTTACAACTGAAGAATATAATCAAATAAGAAAATTTTTGCAACATGATAACAAAAGATTAACTGCATATAGATTGATTTTGATGTTGGTAAATGCATGCTGAGATATAACGGTATTACTTACCTGTTCTACGCCAGGTGAGGTAGGAAATTTGACAAGGTAAAATTTAACCGGTATCGAAATATTAAAGCCGACCCATGGGCTTTATTGCAGAATTAATTTATGTAGGTATTTAAATCGGCCCAGAAGCTAAAGAAATCTGGCACACAATAGATGTACAGCGCTTAAGAGTAAAGTCAAACACGTCAGTAATACCGGGCGGGGAATGGTATTGTCATATATTGAAGCTTTCCC